TCTCTCTCACAGTGATTTGCATTTTCAAGTGAAGCTGTTGGTGTGAACCGGGAAACTTCTTCACAGCAGTCAGTTTTCCTTCTACTTCCTTCTACCTACTACTATTTTATTTTACAACTACCACCCCAACTTCAGCTGAATCAGGATCAGGACACACACCCACAACACCACAAATTACTTTTACCTTTTCCTATTTTTATTAATAATAAATCATTGCATTTGTTGTCTTTGAGTGGTGAACACAGGCGTGAACAGGCGAGGAATTGTTAAGGCACAAATGGAAAGTTGATCCCCAGAGTTTAGAATCGGCGCTTGATGATGCCGAAGTGGGCGAGCTTTCTCGCGGCGGCCGGCGTCACCAGGAGAGTGAAGAGGACGCGCGCCGGCATGGCCGCCTTGTAGAGGGCGTAGGCGAGGGCAAAGGTGCCCCCATTGGCCAGTATCAGCAGGTACTTCTCGCTGACCAGGCCGTACGTCTGGAGGAAGGCGGGCACGTCGAAGCCGTAGCGAACGACGAGGTAGGTGGCGCCGAGGAAGGTGAGCGAGAGGCCGATGTGCAGCACCACCGCCACCGGGCCGTAGATGGTGAAGAGGTTCTTCAGGCGTTGCTTGTAGGGAATGCGCGGGTCGTTGGTGACGAACTGGGCGTTCAGCTCCTTTGGTTTCGGGTTGCTGGAAGATGAAGATGAAGAGGAGGGAGGTTTGGAATCAGTCGAAAAGCTGTGCCCCATCACCATCATCGTCTTTGGGTGACAGCTGGCGAGTCTGCTGTTGCTACTGAAATGGCTCGATGATGCGACAGCAGCTACCTGCCGATTCAGAAAAAAATTTCGAAAAATCGGAAGAGTAGTAGCTGTTGTTGTGGTTGAGGTTGTCAGTCTCCTCTTCCAAACACCGCTGGTCGCGAGTACAACTGATCGTCGAGCGAAGGTGACGTAGAGTAGCATCGTCATTTAGTCAGAGAGAGTTGTTTTGTGTGTGGAGTGTCCCTGTCTGTGCCGATGTGAATGAGAGTGCTTCTGCAGAAGCAGCAGCAGCAGTGGTTAAAAGGCCGTTATTATTGACAGCTCGTCGATGGTGGTCGCCCAGCCTACCACTCTCTTGATCTGCCGCAGATGGACTTTGGGTGCATCTTCTGATGCCGCCGCCGCTGCAGACGTAAACACTTGATCAGTTGGCGACGGCTAATGCTACTCCGTGGTNTATTGACAGCTCGTCGATGGTGGTGGTCGCCCAGCCTACCACTCTCTAGATCTGCTGCAGATGGACTTTGGGTGCATCTTCTGATGCCGCCGCTGCTGCAGACGTAAACACTTGATCAGTTGGCGACGGCTAATGCTACTCCGTGGTGATGTACAACAGACCAGGTGTGCACTGTTGATATAGACTCGCCAAACAACTGCTGCTGCTGACTGGTCAACACTGCTGGTACACCTCCTTCTGCTTCGCCACCGGTAATCATCAACAGTCTTGCGACACTCTTTCATCATCATCATCAACAAAATTATCTGTGATAGAAAATAATGTGCTAAAGTGAACTGAAAAAAGGGGTAAACTGTCCAGCTGATGTTCTATTTTTCTGTTTACTAACCTTTGTTTGTTTACCTTTTCTTAGACTGTGACAAAGGTGTTGACCATTTTTTGCTGCTGCCAAGCGTACAACAATAGCAGCCGCAAAACTGTACAAATACCAGCGGGAAATGTAGTAGGCATTTGCATCTGCTGGAAAAACTGCGAGCAATAACTGAAGAACTGAAGCAGCGGCAGCCTTCAAGACGTACACGTCAGTCTTAGAACACACTGCAGTCTGCTTTCACTTGTTTACAACTTCTTTCTTTTCTCTCTCCAAAACACAGTGCTGCTACTCTCACTAGTCACATCGCTGCATCATCATCAACAACTATTATCAACAGCAGAAAATACTTTTTAGAACCAACAAGGATGTCCTCCTTCTTCCCCGACACGAAGCCGTCGCTGGTGGAACGCCTCATCATCCGCCTACTGCGCCAAGGGCAGATTCCCGCTCACATCGGCTTCATCATGGACGGCAACCGCCGGTACGCCCGCCAGCGCCAGGTGGAGAAGCTGATCGGCCACAGTCGCGGCTTCGACAAGCTGGCGGAGACGCTCGGTTGGTGCCGCGACCTGGGCGTCCGCCAGGCGACGATCTACGCCTTCAGCATTGAGAACTTCAAACGCCCGCCCGATGAGGTGGCCGGCCTGATGGACCTCTTTCGTCGGCAGTTTGAGAAGCTGATCGAGGAATTTCCCAAGTTTGACGCCTTTCAGATTTGCGTTCGCGTCTACGGCCGCGTGGACATGCTGCCGGCGGACGTGCAGGCCTCGGTGGCGAAGGTAGTGGCCCGTACGGCGAAGAACGACCGCTTCTACCTGAACGTCGCCCTCGCCTACACCTCCCGCGCGGAGATCTGCAGCGCCATCGGTGAGCTGAAGCAGGCCGTCGAGGGTGGCCAGCTGGCGGCGGAGGAGATCACCGAGGAGACGCTCAGCGGCGCCATGTACTCCGCCGGCCTGCGCGATCCGGACATTCTCATTCGCACCTCGGGGGAGATCCGCCTGTCTGACTTTCTCCTCTGGCAATCTGCCTTCAGCTACATCTTTTTTGCGCGGGAGCTCTGGCCGGACTTCTCCATCTGGAGCCTTTTTGTGGGCATCCTCCACTACCAGGTGCAGGCGGGGGTGATCGCCCGGGCCCGGGAGCACTACCAGGCCCAGCTGGAGCGTCTGCAGGCGAAGAAGAGGGAGCGGCAACACCACCTACTTCAAAACGGAAGTGGTGGTTCTATTATGTGCAATGGAGGAGGTGGCAAAGTGGACGGTGGCTATCGCAATCGGATGGTGGTCTACCCGGTGAAGCAGAATGGGCTGTGTCAAGGAGAAGGAAGAGGAG